CTGGGTGTGGGCGTGCTGGGACGATGCATTTGGGAGAAGACAGGGCCATGGGGACGGAACAATCTGCCACACTTCGCCACCTCTTCAGGAATCAGCCAACTAGCAGGCCCCGTGTCCTCTGAGGCCCTCTGTGCCCGGCAGCAGTTCCAGGAGGTTGTTGGTGCAGTACAGACCCTACAGGCCCCTGCAGGTGGTCAGGGCCAGAGACTGCAGATCGCTATGGCTAAGGTGGGCCACTCAGGCTTGGCCAAGGACACAGTTTCTGGTGGCGGCTCTGTGGGCAGCGGGATCCCAGGGAGACACCAGCCAGGGTGTGCTGGGGGGAGCCAGTTCTGTCCCTGGGGCTCAGGCCGCTCCCGTGGATCTTGCAGTGGAAGTGGGTGTGGCAGAGTGCTGGACCCTCCAGTCGGGACCTGGAGAGGATGGGGATCCTAGGAGCTACTTCTGGCTGGCTGCTAGGCTGTGTCTGTCTTCCTAGATAGCCCTTCCCCTCCCTGGGCCTCGGCAACTTGTCTGCGATAGAGGAGGGGGAAGGGACCCCCCACCCCGCTTCCCCCCCACCCCGCTTCTTGCTCCGCCGGGTAACCTGCTGTGCTTGCCGAGTGACCTGCTCCTCACCTTGTGATACCTCTGAACCAACCCAGCTGGGCCCCGTGGACTGATTTTCTTGCCAAGATGGGCTTCCCCTGGCCCTAGGTCAGACCACGTCAACAGGGCAGGAAATAGGGGTGATGATGAATTATAGGGGGTGCCACAAATCTCACTAAACAGGAGGAATATTTGAATGCATGTTTTTTCAAAAATCAGAATCAATGCCAAAAAAGTCCATGGGGGAAATATTACATTTTAAATAAAGACAGAATCACTGTTTTTGATTTTTCCCCTTGCCTCAGGCACCAGTATGGCTGAGCACAGCATGTGTATTGATCCTGTTTGGGCTTCAAATATTGTCCTTCATATGATCTTCTGAAAATCTCACTAGAACCCTTGGGGTTCAGGATCATCCCCCCACTTACAGGCAAGAAATTGGGCCACTTCCCCCCAGTGCCTAATGATTGACTGCAGGCCAGTTCTGTTGGAGTCTCCCTCCAGTCTTTCACACACACTTTCTGGCCGTGTTTGCCTGGGAGTGTGCATGAGTACCTTGGGGACACGGATGGGCAGGCTTTCACTTGTAGTAATCATATTTTTATTTTAATGTATGTTAGAGAAATATACTAACATATTGAGCTGTGAGTTCATGGGTGTTCTTATGTATATGGAAGACAAATTAATTAGGGCAAACACCAGGGGACTAGCAGAAGGCAAGTGGCCATGATGATTCTTGGCTATGGCAGGAACCTGGATCCTGGGGCCACCATCTTGCAACTTAACCGTGGACAGGTCACTTTCCCTTTTTGAACCTTCATTGTTTCAGCCACGGAATGGCTCCAAGTCCCCTTGCCATGTTTTGGGACTCAGAGATTAATTTTGCTGTTGTCTTGGTAAGTGCCTCTCAGAACCCGTGGCTACTTGGGGTCAGAGCAGCTAGAGTTGGGTGTTGCTCGAGGCTCTGTCTCCACCCAACTCTGGCTCCTGCTTGGGCTCTGGCTGCTCCTAGTTGCCACCATTAGTTCTGGAGGTCTCGAGTCTGCTAAGACATGCTTAAACTACCCCAGGCCCCTGCCAGCCCAACCTGTGCTGCTACAGGAATGAGCCTGAGTCCCCCTGGGACTGGAAGGGGCTGGACCTCTGTCCTCCTATCTCTTTTTTTCCTTGGCAGCCAATAGCAGCTCCTGCCCTTGCGCCCATTAAGCAGAACCCAAGAGTGCCTCCAACCTCCGGAGGGAGAGAGGGTGCCCCGCTCAGCTCCACCCCTGCCGTCCCCTGCTGCTGGACTTGGACAAGTCACTTCACCTCTGTGAGCCCTGAGCGCTTCATCTTTCAGGTGGCAATGGCCTTCATGGCTGCCCTGAAGCTGGTCACGAGGGACACAGACTAACTTCTGCCCAGGGTCCAGGGCGCTACCTGCCATTTAGAAATAATTTATACTCGTCAGTTCTCTCGTGGACCACTTGGCTCCTCTCCATCGTGGTCAAGCAGATTCTTTTCAACACAACCCCTGTCACCCGTCTCTTCTGAATGTGTCTCTTGGTAACTGCCTGTTACCCTGTGAGCTTTTCCCAGCGCCCTCTCTGACCCATTCCTGGACCCCAAACCATGACTCCCCAGAGCTGGCACAGTCTCCCTGGCTGGTCCCTGCCCAGCAGTGTGTCCACTGCCCCAGCACCTGCAGCAGCCTCTGCCTGACCATCCCAAATGAGGCAGGGCTCCTATTCTCTGCCTCTGTGCTCACTCTGTCTCAGCCACTGAGAACCATCCTCTTCCGGCTCGGCTCATTGATTCTCCGTCACGCTCCCTTCAGGGGTCTGAATCCAGCTGAGAGCACCGGCGCTGTCTTTTCCAGGTGGAAGACCACCATTCTTCATGTGTCATGGGAAGCCCAGCTCATGTGCTCCCATGCACCCATGCCCTCAGGACCCTCCTCTGCTCTGCAGTCAGGGAGTTGAGGGCAGGGGTGCAGGGCTGCAGGGCGGCAGGTGTGAGATGACTCCTCCCTACAGCTCCCGGCCAAGCTCCCATCAGGAAACTCTGGCTCCCTGGAAAGTGATTCTGAAAAACCCAACTGAACAGTGCCCGGCACGTAGCATTTGGGCTGCACGTTTGCTGAATAAGTGAAAATGGAGAGGCCCTGAACACAGTTCAGCCTTGCCCTATGCCAGGTGGGGGCGGTCAGGTTAGAGATACTCTTCACCAGAGCTTGACTACTTACTGCTGTGTGACCTGGGGAGAGTCACTTTACCTGAGTGCTACATTTTTACAGGGAAAAATAAGACTAAAAATAATGGCCACTGAAATTGTTATGAAAGTGTGGGCGGATCCAGGCACACAGGCCTTCCAGCTTTCCAGAAATTTAACCCCATATGAACCCTGTGGCTAAACGCGGTGAGTTTCATTTAGCAGATGAGAACATTGAGTTTCAGCGATGTCCCCAGGTTTAGGTTCACACCACTGGAGTGTCTGAGACAGGGTTCAGCCAACCCAGCTGGAAGCCTGTGGGGACCCGGGGTCTCACCTGCAGCCTGGCTACACTCCCCCTGGGAAGCTGCGCCTGCAGATCAACGGCCTCCAACCTGCCCCTCAGCAGTAAACCACAAAGGTGCCCTGCACAGGGGAGCAGGCGCACCCTGGATGTGGCAGGATTTGCATTCCTGGCTGGTGGGAGTCTGTGTTACCAATCCCAGACAGGAGAAACCCACGTGGGCCCGGGTATCCTCAAGCACACCTCAGCCATCAGGTGCTGAGTAGCTTGCGTGTGTACAGTTTGAGCTACTGTGCCAGCCCTACCCTTCTCCTTTCAGGGCCCAGAATCAACCCTTTCTCTTCCTTCACTGGGGTATTCCAAGGGAAGGACAGAAGTTTGCAGAGATGGATGCTGTAGCTGCAGCCCTCCACGAAGCATGGAGGGAAGATTGGGGGACGATGCCAGAGACTGCGGGTCTGAGACCACGTCTGTGGGTCATTTCTGTGTGTGATCCATCTCTTCCTAATTCAATAGCAACTGCCCAGTTCTCAGAAAAATAAAGATGAGGCATTGTATCTCTGCAGATCCTGAAATCCGTGGAGACATCTGCCTGAGTTCTGGGTTTGCCTAAACCTTCAGACTTGAGTTGATGTGGCTGGGTGCAGTGGTCCATGCCTGTAATCCCAGCTGCTCGGGAGGCAGAGGCAGGAGGATTGTGAGTTCAAAGCCAGCCTCAGCAACTTAGCAAGGCACTAAGCAACTCAGTGAGACCCTGTCTCTAAATAAAATACAAAAAATAGGGCTGGGGCTGTGGCTCAGTGGTTAAGTGTCCCTGGGTTCAATCCCTAGTACCCAAAAAAATAAAAAAGAAACAGACCCCCTTCCATGCTCAGCCTGGGAGGGAGATAAGAAAGAACCGAGGGAGGGCTGGGATTTCTAGAACTTGCTGGGAAACTTTTCAAAACACAGATTCATCAGGAACACCCTGGAGACCCTGGTTCAGTGGGTTGGAGCAGTTCCCAGAGACTGTCATGTTAAACAGTTTCCCGTGAATCTCCACCAAGGGCCTGGCAGCAGCCGCTGAAGGAGTGGGGTGGAGCCGGTATTGGGTGATCCCATCGTTCACGGGGGACGTCACTCGGTCTTTCTGAGCCTGTCTTCCCCACTGGACGCAGTGGTGGACCTGAACTGCGGGAAATTCACACTGGAACTCAGAAATGTTCCTGGCAACCTACGGACAGGGAAGCCAGGCTTCATTTGTCAAGTAAGGATATCAAAAAAATAAAAAATAAATAGACAACAATAAAAAACCCACCTCAGACCAATGAATTTTACACACAACACACACACACACACACACACACATGCACACACTTTGCCGTTATTTTTCGTAGTATGAAGTTTTTTTTTTTTTTTTTTCAGTGCTGAGGAAAGAAACCAGGCTTTGCCCTTGCTAGGTGAGTACTCACGTCCATGTCAACTCTGGTCAGAAGGAAGAACCAGCCTTTGATAGGACACGATGGGCTCAGCGCTCCTCCCAGATCACCCACTGGGCCCTGATTCCATAGACTGTGTCAGGATCACCTCACCCCGGGCAGCCCGGGGCCTGGGGACTGCCAGGATTATGATAAAGAACTATTATCCAAACATGCAAAGCACTCTCGGAACTCCACAGTAACAAATCAGATAATCTGTTTTTTTAAAATGGGCAAAAGGCCTGAACACACTTCATCAAAAAGACACACCATTGAAAAACAGCCTGGGAAAAGATGCTGAATGTCATGGTCATTAAGGACTTGCTGCTGGTGACAAGGAGACGCCTCCACAAACCCATGGGCTGCTTGGTAGGTCAAAGGTGAGCCAGGGCAGGAATCGAGCTCTCCCCTCTGGGGCGGAGCCCAGTGGCACAGCCACTCTGGAGACAAACTAAGCCTGCCTTTGCCAAGGGCCCCAGCACTCGTGGCTCTTTGCATTTGCCCAAAGGAGCTAAAAGCTCTTGCCCCTCAAAAGCCAACACAGGGACGTTGATAAGCCCTTCACTCAGAATCACCAGGAACACACAAGATGTCCCTCAGGACGGGAGTGAGCACATCTGCTGTGCTGCACCAGGCCATGGAGTGCTACTTGGCACCCAGAAGAAACGGCTGGGGAGCCATGGAGAGGCCTGGGGGAGTCTCAGATGCGCACTTGCACCCAGAAGAAGCCGGTCTGCACAGGCTGCACACCGTGTGACTCATCTGGGTGACCTTCTGGAGAAGGAAAGCCATGGAGACAGGAGACCAGCGGTTGCCAGAGCATGGGAGGAGCAAGGGATGGACAGGTGAGCACAGGATCGGAACGGCTGGGTAACTACTCTGTTGTGGCTGACACTTGTCATAGAACGTTAGTCCAAACCCATCTCAAGAGCAAAACCATGAGGAAGCGCTGGGTGACAGGGAGCAGGCTGCCCAGCTGAACAAGGTCTCCTGAGCCTGTGACCCTGGCATTGGGGCAGCCCAGGGAGTGCAGGCCACGGGGAGCACGGGGACCTCTGTACCTTCCTCTTAATTTTTCTGTGAACTGAAAACTGCCCTAAATATAGTCTATTTTAAAAATAACAACAAAAAAACAAGAAACAGAACAGCAAATGTACAGGGCACTGTGCTTGGTCAGGGTAGAGAAGTGGTACCTCCTGCCACGGGTCAGGATAAAAGCTGCAGAGTGAGAAGAAGCCTGTGATGCTTCCTAAAACCAAAAAACACAAAAGGTGCCCAAACAATGCTTTTTTGTCATATGTGATTGTGAAAACCGGCTGAGATGGCAGGTGTGAAGGGACCAGAGGAAGGCGGCTCCTTCCCTGGGGACACTCTTGCTCCCCTAGACCACACCCACCCGTCCCCAGAACCAGCACCAACTGAAGGAACACAGAGCACAGGAGCGGCCCAGATCTTACTTTAAAACCATTGCAGGGACACCCGCACCCTGAGAGCGTCAGCCTCCTTTGGATGTTTATAGTTGAAATATCGACCACAGATGGGCCCACAGTGGGAAAATGCCGCCCGGGTCTGTAAGAGGCTGACAGCTCCCAAGGAGACAAGGGATCACTCAATCAAATGTCAGTCCAGAGGGGACAAAAGCAGAAAGAGCAATTCTTCAGGCCGTGGGAGAGTCCCCCAGCAGATGCACTTTGGCAGGGTGGGTCCTACTGAAGCAGCATTCTGCTCCCGAGCTCCCCTCCCCACTGAGACCCAGCATAACACACACTTCAAAGGTTTCTTCCCAGGGCAAAACACAGACAGCTGCTTGAAGGGGGCCTCGATGAGGAGCAGCTCCAGGCTAGCTCACCAAGAGGCTTTGGAGAAGGATGGGAGGATGAGTCGCCCAGGGCTAGCCCAGTCACACACATGCATGCCGTCATTGTCGCCAGCATGCATACGGAACAAGGGGACTCTGTACCCCAGTTTTATCCTGGCACTTGAGGAGGCACAGGTAGACGCTGGAGGTAAGAAACGAACCACAAGAGGAACTGAGGAGGAAACTCGAATTTATTGAGCACCTGTTTCTGCCGGGCATGTCACACACATGTACACCCAAAGCAATTATTTCAGCACTGGAACCCTGGACACAGCTCTGCTCAGTGCCTTGGCCAGTGGCCCACTGTTAGGGAACACGTGAGTGGTCACTGGACTCCTTTATTTCACAATTAATATGACTGACACCAACATGAGGAGGTTAAAGGAGTCCTACCCGTGGTGGAGGAGCAAATTAACCTCCAGGCTACTTCAATACTGATTTTCCTTTGGCCCACAGAGCCATTGCCAATGCCCCTGACATTTCTTGGCTTCTGCAAGCTTGAAATTCAGAGGTCGAGGTGCCCCAAGGGCTTAGCTCTCTCTTTGCACTTGCCCTCAGGAGGCCAGAACATTCTTCAAGTCTGCAAAACCCTCCCTCCTGCCTACTGCCTCTCTCCTGGGAGGAGGGGGTTTTTAGCTGATTCCTCCCTAGACAACCTCTGGGCGCAGGTGGAATAGCAGCTCACTGGCTCCACTCCCTAGTTTTTGTTTAAGGAAAGAGGTAACTTCGGCAGGTGTCTGCTCAGGGCTTTGTAGCACCAAGAGTTTCCGTAAAATTGCAGCTGCACTTCAGATGGGTGCACCTCCTGCCCCACAATCAAGTTTCCCCAGCTTCAGAGGAGAGGGAAAAACTCACAAGCATCAGAATATGGAATAATAATAATTAACAATAATAATAATATTAATAATAATCTGAACAGCCAGCAGCAACTGCTGGTTTTAATAATTCTGAGGTCTCTCAAGAGAAGACAATGAGAGAGAGGGAAAGAAGAAAAAAGAGAAAGAAAGAAAAGGGGGAGGGAGGAAAGTGGGAAGAGGGAAAGAGATGAGATGTTTCAAGGCCTCTGGCTTCCCACTGGGCTCCAAGTTCAAGTTTCAGAAATCTGCCACAGTCTTCTGACTTTCAAGAAGCTTCTAGGGGCCTTTCACATTTCCCGGCCGGGCAGCAAGGCTGGCGAAGTAGGCACACTGGGAAGGGTCACAGTGGCCAGGGGGCCCAGGTGGTCCTGGAGGGCCAGGGTGTCCAGCTGGTCCTGTCTCTCCCTGAGGGCCAGGACTCCCTGGGATTCCATCTTTAGCATAGCCCGGTTCCCCAGGTTGACCTGGCGCAAGAAGCAAAAGAAACAGAAGGTGATTTGTGCTTCCCCTGAGAACAAGGAGCCCCGCTACCCCCCATTCCATGTGCACCAGGACCTGAAGTCTGCTCAGAGAGCCTCCCATCGGGGTACGCTAGTCTGAGTGATTACAGTGGCCCACCAAATGCTAGGGACCAGGAGTACCAGGACATGAGGGAGTGTCCTAGTTTACCAGGTGAACCAGAAGGTTAAGGCAGCTACTAATGGAGAAAGACACACAGGGTAGGCCTGGGCCAGGAGGAGCTTGTTCTCTGCTTGAGAGTCAGACAGAACCCAAGGCAGCCCGTGTCCTCACATAGTTCTAGGAGGTGCCTCTGCATTCAGAGGGAGACACCAAGTTCTGACCACTAGCCATCAGCCCCAGTGCACATGACTCTTTCTCAGGATGTTTTGTTCACTTACATTTTAATTGACATGGTAATTGCCTGTGTTTGTGTGTATATACGGGGCTTGGTGAGCTATCCCTGGACATGTACACAATGTGCAGTGGTCATGTCAGAGCCGTCAGCATCCGCATTGCTTCACACATTGATCATCTCCTTGGGATGGGAACATCCAAATCCTTTCTTCTAGCCATTTTGAAATATTCAATAAATTATTGGGGTTTCTGACTCATGAGGTTTGCCTCAAGAAGTTTAGAAATATTTAATAAAAACGGAGCTGCTCTGTCTCATCATCACTTGACTGAACCATCTCTCCCTTCCTGAGTCCTGCGTGGCTGCAGATGGAGCGCATCTGTGTGTTTCTCCTCTCCACTCCCCCCACAGACCCCAGACGCCCCATACCTGGGATTCCGGGGGGTCCCATCTCGCCTCGGAGGCCAACTCCAGGTGCACCTGGCTCACCTTTGGCTCCTCGTTCACCTGTGGAGAAAAACATGCTCCCTTGGTGGTAGAGACCCATGATGAGGGCAGAGACAGGGAGTCCCAGCTGCAGGACATGAGGCACAACACTGTGGCTGCAGCGTCCCACTCAAAACCACCCTGGCTCACACTCCCCGTCCCCGTGTACACATATGCGCTCTCTCTCTCTCTCTCTCTCTCTCTCTCTCTCTCACACACACACACACATACACACATGCGCACACACACTCTCAAGGAATGTTCTATGTGATACAGATTGCAGTCAGTGCCATCCTAAGAATAAAAACAGGGCCATATTCAGAGATCCGAGTCATTCCCACAGGGGTTATTTGGACCATATTTGAGTTGAGATTTGTACAGATAGGATAATTAAATTGTTTCTCTCCCACTTCTTGAATCAATCACTTTTTGCCATATTGTTTCCCAAATATCTCTTAGATACATCATATATATATATTGTAATCCAAATTTAAATTCTGCTAGTTCGTGGTGTCTTTGAATCACCCATTTTTATTGTTTTAATTATTACATTTGTTCAGGATTCTGCCAGTCTACTGTTTTCTAGGCCTTATGCTTGTTATGGACAATTCTTTTGTGTATTTTGCTTTATGAACTATTGTGGGTTGAACTAGAACACACGAATTTAACAAAAACCATTTCATGTAGGAGAACTATTACAGAGAATGAAAATTAATAATAAAGAAATGGGAGATGTTAGGGTCATCTGTTTCCCTTCCTCCCAATCACCCAGGAGCAGCTACAATTACCTGCACCCTCCTTCCCCGTGCTAGTCTTTATCAGAAAGGAGTGAATTTCAGGCTGGGGTGTCATCAGGTTCCTCCTCTCTGCTCTTCATATCTGCCTGGCTGCAGAGGAAGCGAGCATTCTGACCAGCTTCCCAAGATGCGGTGGGTCAAGGGAGCCAGGACCCTCAAGGGGAGGGACGTACGGCTGTCCAGGGCTGCAGTGTCCAGGTAGTGCTGGACACTGACAGTGGACAGTTAACGGCCATTTCTGCTGTAGCTCAAAGCCTCCTGATGTAATTTAAATGCTGGCACTTACTCCCCACTGCCTGGAGATTAAATGTCTCATTCCTCAGTTACTTCTCAACTCAGCAGAGGAAGAGGAGAGCATGTTACAGTACCACTGAAACCTGATCGGGGGAGATGGAGGGAGAACAAGAAAGTGGGTGGGAGTGGAGTCCATCTTCTTAGCACAACTCTGCTAAAATGTCAAGAATGAAAACCTCTTAAACATAGGAAAAAATTACATGATGCCAAAATCCAGGGTGTGACCAAGCTACAGAGAGTGAGAACAGAATGAGGAACGTGGCTCAGCAGAGCTCGCCGCCCACACCCCCCTCTCCTCAGCCCTCGAGCACCACCCCCCTGTGTCTACTCACCTTTGGGACCCATGGGTCCAGAGGGTCCTTCCAGACCCCCCTGGCCAGGGCGTCCAGGCTCTCCCATGGGGCCTGCTCGACCCGGAAGCCCATCTTTTCCAGGGGGTCCTGGGGGGCCAGGTCTGCCTTGAGATGCCTTCATGTGTGCCGGGGGCATCTGGGCCAGGAGGTAGGCAAGTTTGGCTATGGAGTACAGAAAACAGAGACACTCATGAAGAATGGATGGAGGATAAAGGGCAGAATGGGAACTCCCTGCAAAGCTAGGAAGCAAGGGACCAGGACTACAAAGACCACAACACAAACAGCAGCCGTGACACACAGAGAGCACAGGTACAGCATTTGAACGTGCATTTCTGACTGGGCAGGTCATAGGGTGCCTTGATGGTGGTGGCCATCAGGGGGGCCCAAGGCAGCTGCCACCAGCCACACAGCTTTGGACAAGCCACTTGGCCTCTCTCAGTCTGATTTTCTCTTCTTTTTAATTTTTTTATTTGTTCCAATAAGTTATACATGACAGCAAAATGAATTTTGATTCATTGTACAAGAACGGGGCACAACTTTTCATTTCTCTGGTTGTACACAATGTAGAATTGCACCATTTATGGAATCATACATCAAGGATGTCCGTCTCATTCCACCATCTTTCCTACCCCCATACCCCATCCCCTCCCATTCCCGTCTTCCAAATCCACAGTTCTTTCAATCTCCCTCCCCCCAATTATGGATTAGCATCCACATATCAGAGAGAACATTTGGCCTTTGGTTTGGGGGGATTGGCTCATTTCACTTAGCATGATATTTTCCAACTCTCTCCATTTACCTGCAAATGCTATAATTTTATTCTCTTTTAAACAGTGGAATATTACTCAGCATGAAAACAGAATAAATTTATAGCCTTCATTTTTCTCTTCTGTAAAAAGGAGGCAATGAAATAACACCCACTCCCTGGTTGGTGTAAGGACAGAGTGACATGATTCCAGCAAAGCTGTGCCTGACCCTTGGTAAGTGCTCAGCAGATGGCAACGGCTGTGGTGATGTTGATGCTGGTTGCAGTGGTAACCTCAGCCACAGTGGTACTGACATCATCTCTAGAGACATTATTGGAAGTAGCAGCTATAGCAGTATTGGCAGTAGCAGCAGTAGTAGTTTTCGCAGTAGAAGAAGTATTGGCAATAGTACTAGTAGGATCAGCAGCAGAGCTAGTAGTAGTTTGGGCAGTAGAAATAATATAGACAGTAGTAGCAGTAGTAGTATTGGTGGCAGTAGAGTATTAGTTTTGGCAATAATAGTAGTTGTGCTGGAGATAGCAGTAGTATTAGTAATAGTAACAGTAGTAGTTCTTGCAGCAGTAGTCACACTGCCAGTAGTAGTAGTAGCAGCCACAGAAGCAGCTTTGGCAGTAGAAGTAGTAGTAGTAGTAGTATTGCAGCAGCAGCAGCAGTAGTAGTAGTAGTTCTGGAAGGTGGTGGTAGTGGTATCAACAGTAGCAGCTGTAGTGGCAGTACTGGCAATAGCAGTAGTAGTTACACACGCAGTGATGGTGGCCTCATTGGCAGCAGTATAGTATCATCCCTGGGAGTTGAATCATTGGCAGTAGCAATAGCAGACACGGTAGGAGAACTGGTGGTAACAGAAGTCTTGGGGTAGTAATGGAAGTCTAGTGGTGGTAACAGGCATAGTAGCAGCAATTGTAAAACCAAGGCCTGGGGAGGGTTAAGTGGAGTATACAAATCTATTGAGTGACTTTTCTCTGCTGAGTGTCAAGTTTAAGGGTTGAAGATTACAGAATTCAAAAGCCCAGTTGCTGGCCTGGCATGCCTTTCCATTGGGCAGGACATACAGTGGGCCTGGTGGCCACCAAGGCCATCTTTCTTTGCATTCAAGTCACAGAGAATCTGGTCCTGCAGAAATTGTTACTGTGTCACAGACCAGCATTTCTGGAGTAAGACCCAGGCAGAGGTGGGGTCTTCAGCCTGGCCAAGCCCCGCTCCTGCTGCTCAGGAACAAGGCCCCACGGGGACTTGTCATCTATTTCTGCAAACTGGGCAATTTGCTCAACTTCTCTGAGCCTTGATTGTCTCATCTTCACAGTAGACTCAGTGCTTCCTCCTCAAAGGAGTGCTGGAAGGAAGGACCCAGCCTAGCAGAGGCTCCATCCAGAACAGCCAGACAAAGCAGCTTTGCCCGCTTTTGTCTAGAAACTCTGTAAGGTGCCGAGGCCATTTCTAACCCCCAAAGTTAATACCCAGGAGGAAGAACTTGGAGTTTCCACCCTTGATCCTTCAGACCCACCACACCCAGCTCCTTCTCCTTCCTTCGAGTGCCCCCTCATCCACCCCGCCTCTCCCTTGCGGTCAGCTCCAGGTGATGACTTCTTGCCCGCATGACGTGGATATGGACTATTTCCAACTGGACTCCACGAGGGGAAGGAGGAGGCCTCCTTGCTTACTTCTTTGTCCTCAGACCCAGGAGTCTGGCACGTGTCAGATGCAGAGTAACTGGGACCCGACCCCATGAATAAATCTATAAATGAGCCCTCTCCCTTTGTCCATTTGTGCCTGAAACAGTGACAGGTTCCTCCTCTTTCCTGCAGAAGGATCGTCTGTGACTTTCTGCTTGTGGTTCAGAGGATGGATTATACAACCCAGGTGCGAAGCCTGGCCAGGTCCCGCCAGCTCTCCAGCCCTAGGTAGCTACTTAGCATCCCTGTTCCTCACCATCTTCCTAACACCACGCGTTCCCCATGAGGATGCTGGGAGGCCCCAGCACCTGTGTGTCAGCTGAGCGCTGCTCCTGACCCAGGGCAAAGCCCCCGCGCTGGGGTCAGTGCTGCTGCTGCTCTAGCTTCCCCTCCTCAGCCCTGCTACTCCACATGGGAGCTGCCCCCAAGGCACTTTCCAAACAGGCTGCCCAAGCACTGGAGGAGGACAGAGAGGGCTGCTTACTCACCTTCCAACTGCTTCTCAAGCTCTTCCTGGATGAGCCGCCGCAGGGTGTCCGTGGACGGGGACTCCCCCTAGGAGGGAGGCGGGTAGGTCATTCCTTTCCCTGTAGCTCCTGCCACCCAAGCCCCCGATGACTCGGGAAACCACGGAGTCCCCAGCCACCCTGTCAGTGGGGAAGCACAGCCTCCCCGTCACTCTGTCCTACGTCTCTCGCCCCCTCCTCCCTCTCTGCCCTGCAGGCAATGCCACCCACTTCCATACGGAGCCTGGACTCTCCCGGAGCCACTGCTGCCCTTGCCTCCACACCTTCCAGGTCTTCCGCCAGGTTTCCTTCCAGCACAAACCACTGTGCCTAAGTCACTCCCTCTCTTCCCAGCGCTGGGCCCATGGGGTCTTTCACCCAAGCTCTCTCTGCCAAAGTCCTGGCTTGCAGGCATAGCCCGAGGCCTGCCCCGCACGGGATCATGTCTGAGTCCCCTGTCAGGCCACCTGGCCCCTCCAGCTCCCAGGATCTTCTTTCCGGCCTGGCTGGTCTGTGCTGGCTCTTAACAAATGTCAACCAAGTCCTGATGCTTGGGCCATGTCTGGGAAGGTCAGAGAGGCCAGAGTGCTGCCCCAGGCTCCCAAAGTGGCAGCAGTTCTCAAAAGGACCCGGGAGAGCAGTGTACATGCCTGACAGCTTTGGAGCAGAGTCACCACTCAAGGGTGGGGTCCTGCTCTGCTCATCTCTACCACTCAAGCACCTGGCATGGGCTAGTGTGGAGGGGATTCCATCTCCTTATTCTCCTGTTCTTTGCTGGCCAGGGATTCTGTATGAGAGTCTCAGAAGTTCCATCAGGACCCACAGCAGAGGGTGTGCAGACTAGGTGAGCTTCCTTGGGCTTCAGAAGTCAACCAAGACCCTCCTGCCTTCCCCCTGGATATGGCTGGGAGACAGGCTCTGCTGCCCAGCCTCCTTCAGACCAACCACGACCTCCAGGAAGGGAGGGACACACAGTGACAGAGCAGATAGGGATATGGAGTGCCCAACACTGTGCTCAGGGCATATGAGGGGTCCCAGATGACCAGGTGGGCTCTGGTGGGGAGTGGGAGGTCACAGGGCCTGGGGAACCAGTCCCCACCAACAAATACACCCAGGGAACTCTGTTTTGTCATTTACAGGCAAGGGTGCCTGTGTAACCAGGCCGGTAAAACAAGAGTCCTGCCACTAGAAAGAAATGTGCTAAAAGGAAAAATCTACCCCTACTACACAAGCCTTTCCTATCGCACTTGGGACAAATGAGACCCAGAGGGCAGAATGAGCAGCCCAGGGAGGCAGAGAGTGCAGAGGTGCAGTTGCAGGTGGCGGGCACCTGCGGGGAGCTCGCATGTCTGGGAGTTGGTGTCTTCTCAGTGACCTGTGCACAGGGTCCTGGGACAGAGGAGCTCCACAGCCCAAGGGATGAAGCCTGGAGGACTCATCACCACTGTGACAGACAGCAGGACAGAGGACGCCATTTTTGATATCTTAACTTAGGCCACCCATGTTACTTCATTCAATCATAACAAATGGGAAGAAAATTTACTCATCCCTTTTGTAGAAAGAAAGGGCAGGCTCAGAGAGGGGATGTCACCTGCCCCTAGTCACACAGCCAGACCCTGGAGGACCAAGGCCGCACCCTTCCTTGGCTTCTCTTCAGGCCCACAAAAGCCCAAGTCTGGAGTAATGTTGGCATCCTTACCCTCAGTCCTGGAAAGCCTGGCTGGCCTGGAGGCCCTGGGGGCCCTGCTGGTCCACTCTCCCCAGGAGGCCCTTGGGGGCCCATCTGGCCTGTGTGGCCTTTGTGGCCTGGGATTCCAGGGTCCCCAGGCTGGCCCTTCCCACCAGGCAGTCCTTTGTCCCCTTTGATCCCGGGGTCTCCCTGGAGAAGGAGAGAAGCACATCAGTGTGGGTGCAGATGGGGGCAAACAGGATGTGAGCCGCAGGAGGCGCCGGGCTCTCCTCCAGGAACCCGGAAAGCAGGGCCAGTCCAGGCTGACCTGTGCACAGCCTGGGGTGAGAAGGGCCCAGAGCCATCCCTCCATCCTGATTGTGAGCCTGAGGACATGGCGGCCCAGAGAGGGAACACCACCTGCCCTCGAGTCTGCGGAGGCCAGGAAGAGAAGGCTGATTCCCAAACCCCAGTCCCAGACTGAGCCCACTTGCATTTCTGTCATTTGGGGAGCAGGAACAAAGTGCTGGTCCATGGACCCAACAGAGCACGCTGTAGCTGCTAGAAAGACGGGGTGCCCACCATGGTTAATTGGGAGGGGTGGAGGGGAAAGGGGAAGGAGCACAACTTTTCGCCTTATACCTTAAAAAACAAAGAATTTCCCAATCCCAGGCTGCACCCTCAAAATTCAGCTCCTCTACCTGCCCAAAGAGGTCTGGCTGGCCACAGAGACTGGGGGCCCAGCTGCCAGCCCCCTCCTGGTGCAGTTTGGGCCTCTGTCAGCTGGGGAGAGTGCACCCCCTCACCAGTGCTTCCCATTCCCAGTCCTGGCTCTAGTGAGTCCACAGAGGGTCATCTCCTGGCCAACGCGCTGCCTGAGGCCCTTTCTCCCCTTCCCTGACCCTGAATCAGAAGTGCTGTGGGAGCACTCCATGGTGTGGGAGCACAGCCGCATCAATGGCCTCAGAGTGCACTAATGGAACTCCGTTGCTGGGATGTAGCAAAGAGAGGGGGGGACAATGAGACCAAGAAGAGGAGCAATAAGGTAACTGGAATGTGGCTTAGCTAGGACTTGACCCAAGTCTCTGAAAAGGAAGACTTCACAGTTCTGCAGCCACCAAGTGGAAATGATAGGAGCAAGACCTGTGGAGTGTGCTGTGCGGAGGGTAGAGGAGAAGGAACATGCAAGGTCAGAAACCCAGGTGTATGCACAGACTCCAGGGAGATTCAGAGCAGCCACAGAGTGACAGCCTGGGAGCCAGGGCAAAGGTGGGAGATGGAAGAGGAACATAACTTTCATTGCAGTTGCTTTTCTTGCAGTGTTCACTGTTTAGGTATGCCCCTATGTTGCTTTAAAACTGTCAATACTGCCAGGTGTGGTCGTGCACGCCTGTAATCCCAGCAGGGAGGCTGAGGCAGGAGGATCACAAGTTCAAAGCCAGCTTCAGCAATTTAGCAAGGCACTAAGTCACTTAGCAAGACCCTCTCTCTAAATAAATAAATGATAAATGTGTGTGGGGTGTGTGTGTGGGGGGGTGTATTTTTTAATGGCCTGGGAATGTGGCTCAGTGGTTAATGCCCTGGGTTAGATCTCTGAAAGAAAGAAAGAGAGAGAGAGAGAGAGGGAGGGAGGGAGGGAGGGAGGAAGGAAGGAAGGAAGGAAGGAAGGAAATGAACATTTTAACACTTATCAGAATATCAGTAAATGAAGCAGCAGCTCAGCTGGTGTGCACTTCATGGGGGCACTGTGATGCTGTCACATCTCGTGGTGATTTTGAATTCAGGGGTCTATTAAGTCACGGGTCCCTAACCACCTAGATGCCAGGCCCTGTCACATGTACAGTGTTTCCTATTCATTGCGCATCTCCATATCACTTTGCGGTGAGAGGACTTGTCCCATATTTCAAGTGTTCCCAGGAGTGTGAAGGAACGGGGAGTCTCGGCTCCCTGGCCAGGTTCCATGAAACCACTTACCAGGGAAAGACAAGCTCTCAGTTTATTGATTAGATATGAGACAAGAGGTTCCTACCTGCGGTCCAATCCCCTGGCTCCCCTCCAAACTCCAGCCATCGCCCCCACAGGCGCCTGAGGGACACTCTCATGAGGGAGCCAACCCTGTCTTGGCCACAGGCGTGGATCAGTGGACTCAAAGTCAAGGGAAGGAGATAGGTGTGGGGGAGAGCGGAGGAGGAGGGAGGAGGCCTGGGATTCTCTGCTTCCACTTCGATCTCCTGGGGCTGCAGGAGCAGCCCGCCAGCTCCCCACCCATCCAACTTGCAAAGAAAGCCGAGATAAATTCTCTGCAGGACCATGGAAAACAAGCGGGGGCGGGGAAGAGGGTGGGTGACATCCGTGTCCTCGCAGCAGGATGGTGGCCCAAATGCAGGACTGTGGCAAGGAGCCCTACTAAGCCGCTCAAGGGAGCAGCTGTCCCGAGGATGACAACGTTCCCTGCTCCCTCTTCCAGGAAACAAACAACAACAACCAACCTTTCTCCTGTTGTTTTTTTTTGAGAAATGAAATGTAAAGAAAGGCTCTCTGAGTGTGGCGCCAAGGCAACTCATTATGGGAAAATCTGTTCCCTTGTCACCTCCAGCAACAAATCCGGCTCCCAGCACATTGGCACTCTGGGAGCCAGGCCCATCACGCACACGCGTTCACACATGGAGAGGGGATCTGCCGAAGCCGCCCGGCACTTTCTTTTGCACTTGTAATTATGATGATGATTTTATTCCTCAAAATAACAACCAAAAAGAAATGGGGGAAAGACTACAGCCATCCCCAGGAAAGAAGCGGCCTTAGTGAGGCTCCACATTTTCCAGGAACAGAGAGCAGAAGCCACTACACAAGACGGCGGCCCAGCGGGGCCATGTGTTCACTGTCCTGGACCTGTCCCCTGGTCA